TTTCTTATTTACATTATTTAGCACACTTACTTTAAAAACACAAATAATTTTTTATACGAAACAGCTCACATGTTAAAGCAAAAAATATAAACATAAATATATTTGATGATTTAACTACTGTTAGTTATATATTTAGATTAATATAAAGAAATTTATATTTCTAGATTCTTCAATATTAACTGATTTAATTTTATTTACTACTTCTTGCAGTGGAACATAATAAATATGATAATACAAAGTCCACCACATATACACCACAGAATGAGCCATTTGTTATTGATTACGAAGATGGCGGTGTGTCTGGGATTTTATCTACTGATGACGTAATCGTAAGTCATTGTCAAGTAAATGATATATTTAATTCTAATCACAGTCATAATCTATGAAAATTTTTTAAAAAACACATGTTGCTATCATTCTCTGAAAAAAAATGCGCGCAATCATACTTTATTAATAATATCAACGTTTCGCAGATTGGTGGGCTTAAGGTTTCATTACAGACATTCGGAGAAGCGCTTAATTTCTCGACAAGATTTTGGGACTCTGCACAATGCGACGGCGTTCTGGGGATGGGTTATCCCGACTTATCTGAATTTGAAGTGCCTTCTGTCTTCCAAAACATGATTGATCAATACGTGGTGTCTCAACCAATTTTTAGCATCTATTTAAATCGGTATGTATCTTTCCGTATGCCTCACGTGTGCTTAATACTATTTTTTAAATTACATACTTTGTCTTTCCATGCAATGTAAAATGCAAATGTAAAAAATATACAACCTATACAGAAATGAGAATGACGTGATCGGCGGTGAACTGATATTGGGTGGCACCAATTCCTCCCATTACGAGGGCGAGTTTACGTATGTGGGTGTTACCCACGAAGATTACTGGCAATTTAAAATGGATAAGTATGTAGTTTTTTTTCTAAATTATACGTATGTCAACCACGGATTATGTGTCAGCTAATTGGTAATGCTATCCCACTGTAGGATTCAAGTAAAAAATTACACCTTTTGCTCGGAAGGCTGTCAAGCTATGGTCGACACGGGCGCTTCTAGGATAGGTGGACCACCGCAGACTATCGAAGTTATTTACAGAGAAATCGGTGTTGTTAATGATACGGTAATTTATTATCCCTTTCTGCAATGGCAGCTTTCACAATTATCTTAAATGAATTATTCAAATAAATTAATAAATGTTTAATAAGTTACGGATTATTAATATGGATTACTAACATTGACCTTCGTTTAAAGGTGAACTGCGACGAGATTTCTAATTTGCCCAATATCAATTTCGTCATAGGTGGTAAGACGTTTCCACTCACTGGTCAAGATTATATCTTGAAGGTAAAGAATATTATTATATAAAGGTTTAAATTGTTTTTAGAATAGATATATAATGCCATATTTAATGTTTCATAGCTCCGCGCTGAAATTGGAGATGAATGCATTCCCGGCTTTCAAGCTGTTCCTCCGTCTAATGGTATAGAATGGATTTTGGGCGATGTATTTATTGGTCGGTACTACACCGTATTTGACATGGGGAACGACCGAGTGGGATTCGCCATTGCAAAACGATAAATCTTGATTCTTCTTCTCATGAAGTTATAATTAAATATTAGGAAATCTAAATGACATTACTAAACAAATAATTCATATTTTTTTAGAATATCGACTGACATACGATTTGTAATTTTAATGGGATTATTTATGTGGTATATTTTTAAATTAATAAGTATGTAAGAATTAGAAGAAAGATATGCGATATTTATTCTACCAACGACTTGGTACATCTTGTTTTTTCGGCAACTATCGAATTGTTAGATGTTGTAAATATAACTTGTATATAAGTTTATTAAAATGAAGTCTATTAAAATGAAGTATTTTTTACACTGAATATTGATTTCATATATCGCCCTTTCAATCTCATCTTAATGTAGTATCCCGAAAAATATTATCTCGTTTAATCTTATAAATTTTCTGCTTACATACGAGTACAAGATATCATATAACATTTTGCTTATATGTATAAGAGTCTAACATACCGCATTTGTAATCAATATATAACTTTTTACATTTCTTATGCTTACACAAACGTATACACGCATAAATCTTTTGCTTATTAATAAACATTATCTAAAATTTTTGACACATTATAGATACCAAATTCTCGATACGAAAATTATCATGTCGTATATATATAATCTGTATATATATAATCTATTCTAATAAATAAAGTGTTATAATATTGCAAAATTAGTTTAGGTATCTCACTATCGTTAATATTATAAACTTATATTTTGAAATTGTTATTTTTAAGAATTTGCATATTGTATTAACTACTGCTAGTTTTAAATAACATATGATACACAAGGAAAGATTCTCGAGTAATTCTGATGATGCGTAACAACGATAAAATTTTCTTGCAATACACGTTCGCAAAAATTTTATATAATTACACAAGCCGACGTCTCTACAATATTAAGAGAAAGTAT